CCCAAACCATTCTGTGTTTCTATGATTCTTTATAGTGTACCAGCCTCTGGAATAATTTTGTCTAAGGAAAGTGGTAACAGAACCTCATAGTTCAGATAATTTAGGAAAGAAACAAAGTACCTGACTATTTAGTAACAGACATGTGCCTTAGAGTATCCCTCAGCAAAGCATGCAGGCTAGACCAGGGAGTTTCTAGAGAAAACAGTGCAGTGCTGCCCAGCAGTGCATGGGAGTGATAAATACTGCCACTCCAGCCTGTGTTTGCCCAGAAGTCAGTGTCTTGAATATGTTTGCAATGTGTTCAGAAAACACAAAAAATATGTTTGCTCAAAAAAAAAAATGTTTGCTTTAGAACAGCCAGAAGTATTTTCAAATACATGGACTCTGGCCTGATAGATTCAGCCAGAATGTTTTGAAAACATTGCAGTGTTTGATCTCAGAGGGAGTAAAGGCCAGGAAAGAGAAGGGTGAACCCCACGGACCACTGAAAGGGTGGGTTTTCCTTAGGCTCTTTGCTAACCTGGTAGGACTACCTACTAAAAGAGAGCCAGTGCACCTCAACTGCAGCGGTGCTAATTTAGCTGGATGTTATTTTCTACCTGAGAAAAGGACAGGAGCTATGGAAGGTTGGGAGAAATCAGTTTCTTAAATGAAGCCCACCCTGCCACACCTGGCAATCATGACCACCATGTCCCCTGTTTCTGTCAGTGCCCAAAGGAATGATATGATCTTCACTGTAATTAACTCAGCTTCTTTCATCCACTCCCTAGTGACAGAGGGGCACGGAGAGGTGGATATTAGGCTGCATCTTAACTGCAGCCACTGTGAGATGGACGAGTGCCGTGTTGATCTTGAGACTCAAAAAGTCATTTGCTTTTGTGAGCCAGGCACAGAGCTGGCTGAGGATGGTGTGTCTTGCATAGGTAAGTAGGTGCATGGGGTAGGCTGGTAGTGTGTGAAGCAGAAAATGCATGATAAAAATCTGAAGTTTGTACTGCAAGACAGCCTGGAAGTGTTATCTGGTTTCTTTCTCAAAACTAGCTTCTGTTGAATATTTCCTTCTTCCCTGCTGGTATATGCTGCAGAGTTATTTTGCTAGGATACAGACACATGGGTGCTGAGGCACTTGTTTGCTTTATGGTACATGTTTGGCATATTGGGCAGCACTGAGGAGAGTCAAATTTTGCATCTGGTTGCACTAATGCTCACATTCTGCTTTGAAATCATGAAAGTTTGTTCACTGAAGGCATTTTCCAGCTAAACTTAACTTCTGGGTCTGCCCTCTTAAGAACCAAAGCAATGTACAAGCTGAAGGAGAATATCATTCCTGTGGATTTGGACATATAACATGCATGTGCAGAATCTATAAGAAATGCTTTGTGAGAGATCTCTGAGGAAAACTAAACTCTCTGTACTTGCTTTACTTGAAAAACCAAATGCTCAGAGCTAGGTTTCCTTCATATTCTTGCCCAGCAATTAGAGAACATGACTCTGGGGTTTCAGGATCTCAGCTCTCAGCTTTGTCACTGGCATGAGAAAGATGTTCTGTATTTTTGCCATTTCCATCTATAAAATGGGTAAAAAGCGCAGTCATTTTGCCAGGGTGAAGTAATTCTTAATAGATGGTCATTGAATGCCTTGTGGTCCCAAGTGAAGATGCAGCTGTGGAATACTTTGTACTACGCTTATGGTTATCAGGTTTTTCTGCCTGGATTAGATGCATTTAGGAGATGATACATTGCAGTCCTCCTGCTTTTGCTGTGATTTGGCATTGATAGCAGCACTTTAACCCTAGCAGTGTAATGTTCTTCCCACCTCCCCAACCTCCTGCCCCTGGTTTTTATGGTCTTGTTTTCATACCCAGGGAGTGCGCATGGTAATTTGTTGATGGCAAACCATCTGTTTTAATAGCTTGATGCTAATTGAGGAAAGTGAAACAATGAGGTATTAGAGGTCATAGATCCTGAGAACTGATCATGCTAGAGGTTGCTCCTACACTGTAGGAGCAGCAGATGAGCAAATGGAAAGAAGAGCAGAAAAATCTGTCTGCAAAAAAGTGGCTGCTGGAAGATCATTTCAAACATGTAATTCCTCCTTCTCCTGCCTCTCTTACAGCTGAGCCGGTGGTTCATCTCCCTCTCTCCTTGGTCTTGTCTGTAGTGACTTCAGCACTGGTGGCTGCTTTAATTTTGGCTTTTTCAGGAATCATGATAGGTGAGTGTTTCTCTGCAAAAGATATTTTTGTATGAGTGCTGGATCTGATCCAGGGATAATTGGGTCCTGGGAGGCAAAAGGATTCAGATTTTTAGCTACTGCTGTATTTAATGACACCTTCCCACACATGCGCCTTAACTTCAGATCTCAGTGGTTGTTTCTAACCACTATGGCCAATTTGAGGAGGTTTCAGTTACTGACCGCATCTCACAAGAGACATTATTGCTTGTGTTGTAGTGTAAACTTGCCAGAACACAACTGCTACTGGTTTTGTGAGATCTGTTGGTGCTTAATGCCTAAAAGTAAGCTTCTTTATTTGTGTGCCTATATACAGATGTAGCTTCTTAATGTATGACATTGAAGCTTGAAATTCTCACATAGAACTTTACAAAGTGCTCCTAGTAGGATGTGGGCATTCTTGGCATCTTTATGTGAAATGCGTATTTTTCACTTTTTCATTTTCTTCTTTTAAACAATTGCTCACCTGCATTTGAGTGCAAGCAGAATAGATGTGAATCAATAAAAAGCAGACAGAGATTCAAACCACAGCTCTGCCACCTTTCTTTGTCCACACTGTGTATAGTCTGGGGGAGGGGAGGGATATACCCAGAGCAGCAAATGGCAACTATTAAATTAGATTTGTGCAGCTGTTTCAGTTTTAAGAATTTCAGGAGTTAGCAGTTTCACACACATGGTCCTAAATGTGTGATTTCTGGCCAGACAGTACCCCTTTAAAGTTACTAATTACTTCTCAGGGAGTGGGAGAGTAATCCTCTTTCCATCCAACCAGCCTATCATTGCCATCTTAGGGGAGAGCAGCGATTTAAAAAATCAAAGCAGAAGCAACCAGGAGGAAAATGGAGGACAGGAAGGGTTTGTGGATAGGTCATTACATCCGTCTGCCTTTGCAAGTGCATGTTTACCCCTTAAATTCTTCCCCTGAGCAACATCTGCTGGAGAAGATGCAATAACTATTACCATCGCAGTCTTTGGGCTCAATCCAGCTCCCACAGAAATCAATGGTGAGGGTAATAGTAATTTAACCTGCTCACGATTGGCATCTTGCTTTGAAAAAAATACTGCAATATCAATTACTGTTTCAAGTAATATCCGCAGGATATCTTCTTTCAAGGTGTGGTTTCTAATGATGTTTCAGAAGTATCAGTGAAGTGATTCAAGGAATATAACACTACCATAAACTTATTTCAAATTTAGTTCAACTCTGTTGTTTAGAAACAGAGGAAGTTTTGCAAAACGAGCAAATTTTATATACAATCTGTTATTTTGAGGTAAGAACTCAGTCTATCCATTTTGAAGGATATGATGCAATACTTCATTTTGGATTTTAGTCACTTCTGTGTGATTTAGGAAAGTTGGTTATACCCAGACTCCCTCAAGTTTGGAACTGGACTCATACTTGGAATGTCCAGTTAAACTAAATAGAACAAAACAAAAGCCTCAGAACTGTGAAATCAGAGATCTCTGTAAGTTAAATTCATTTTACTTCTTCCAAATAGTCCATGAGCAAGCCTGTTTCTTCATCAGATATGTAAATCAAAGGTTCCTGGGTAACTTCAGATGCCATTTTCTATCAGTAATTATTTAATGTGCAGAAGTATGACAGTGTCACTGGCTGGTTTGATTCACTGAAATGTGGCCACACAGCGAATTCCAGTGAGACGTGCTGCATGGCTGCTGTCCTGTTCCCAAAGTCAATCTGTGTCTCTGGTTTACTGTGTTCTCCGTGTTCAGTGTATCGTCGGAAGCACCAGGAGCTACAAGCCATGCAGATGGAATTACAGAGCCCAGAATATAAACTCAGCAAGCTGCGTACCTCCACTATCATGACAGACTACAATCCCAACTACTGCTTTGCAGGAAAGACCACATCCATTAGTGACCTCAAAGAGGTGCCTCGAAAAAACATCTCCCTCATCCGGTAAATTCATCTTTGCCTTCCCCATGCTTCACATTATACACTGACATATGCTGGCTCTCTTGCACGAATGTGAACTCATGCCGTCATGCAGGCACATACAAATTCTCATGTACTTTTAGACTCATGCCCCTTTTCAAAAGAAAGGTGTAAAGCTGCATTAGTTAGGCTTGTGTGGAGGGGACTAGACTTTGGCAGTCTCCCTGACCTTTTACAGGTGCAGTGTTAATCATCTGGGATTATGAGAGGAACTGAAGAGTCATCACCAGTAATTCAGACACATCTTTTTCAGACTGTGCAATGAATGGCCCATTTCCAGTTATTAACTGAGGAAATGCTGGGAAGGCTGAGGCTTGTAGGCAGCTCTTTAAAAGTCTTTGATGGGATCTTTGGTAAAGACAATGACATCCTTAAGTCCAGGAAAAGCAACGGGTTTGAGACTAGCAGACAGTATTAAAAAGACAGGAGTATAAAGCCAGGAGGACAGTCATGTCTAGACCAGAACTTCTGAAAAGTTTGAAGTAGTCTCTTAAGAAAAATTCAGAGTTCTCTCCCACCTTGCTCTACGGCAGGATACAGTGCATGCCACTTGTGAATGTGATATTACCTGGTACCGTGCTGTTTTACACAAAAAGACAAGAAGTGGAAGCAGGAGAGCTTGGAAGACTAGGGAGCTTACGGTGCTAGAAAAGATGATGCTCAGAGCAGTCTATGGAGTCTTATCTCATTCCCCCTTGCCTGCACACCTGCATCTGGAAGTTTCCAGTGTACCCTGTGCTGATGCTGCCTTTGTCACTTGGGCTCTGAAAGGACTTTTGAAGCGTGGCAAGCTGCACAGAGCAGAGGATACAGCTGGGAACTGATAAGGGCAGAGAAGGTAGGCTTTTTGGGAGGAGACTGAGTTATGAGCTGTAGAGATCTGTTTTATACCCTCAGTTTGTAATAAGTCAATCACAGCCAGGAAGTGTGTCTGAAGCTGATACCTACAAATGTTATTAAAAGAAGTGGTTGAATCACAGGCAACACAAGTCCTCACTGTGGTTTCACTGCCTGAACTGGTCTTTATCCTGGGAAAACTACAGACAGAGCTTATGCAACAAGAGAGCAGACTGCTCTTATTAGCACCTGTTTTAACTGACAGGAGGGCAACAGCCTGTGCAAAAACAGTCCACCAATAGACCAGAGAACAGAACCAGTGCAGCTCTCAGGCCAGACCTGGCTCTGCCAGGAAAGTGTGTGTTATAGAAGAGAGCCTTATTGTGAGAGACTTTTACCCAGATTGAGATGCAGGAATGTCTCTTAGAGGCTCAAACTACTACTGCCCAATGTGCAGCCCCTGCAGGGTTAAGAGGGACTCAGGATCTGGGATGCAGCCTCATTCTCTGCCAGAGTTCACTATGTTGTTACGAAATGTCACCTATGTGGTATAGCTATTGTTGTACCAGTTGACTTAACGTTAAGTGAGTGAAGACTGAACAGACACGTATGCAAAATCTGTATCGCAAGGACATAGGACAGGATCTGTTTTGTGATTAATTCCTTTCTCTTTTTTCTTGTACCCTTATCCAAAATAAAACTATAAATTTCATAATATGATCACTGCCAGAAACAATTCTCAGCACGAATTCCTAGAGCTGAGTGCTTTACAAAGCACTGTCATCACCATTTACTGGCTAGGCTGCTTACCCAGAATCACAAAATAAATCAGGAAATGACACATGGTTTAGAATGCAGGTCCTTTGAGATCCATTGTGCCTCCTAGTTTCTTGTTCAATGTTTTCTTTAATGGTGATGCATAAACATCACAGGAACTGTTAATGTGTTTAGGGTGTGGGAACATCCAGACTCAAGACCTATCTTTATTGACCTGTTTTGGAGTGCCCACCACTAGAGCACTGACACCAAAGCCATAGAAGAGTGCTATCCATCATGCACTTCAGTGCCAGCAGCTTGATTTCACTGGGAACTGTTCACTTTTGAGGATTGCTTTCCCTAACAATTAAATATATTGTAGGTCCAGGAAAGATCACATCAAGGACTGGTCCCCTGTGTAGTGTGAGAAGTGATGTAATCAGTGTCAATATTCAGTTCTCCCTGTTTCACTTGTATGAAAATTGTGAGCCCATTCTGTGAGCTATGACCACAGTGTTATAATGTATGTTCTCTGTAGTAAAACCTTCTTGTCTTCTCTGGTCTGTCCAGGGGTTTGGGCCACGGAGCCTTTGGTGAGGTATATGAAGGTCAGGTGGCAGGGATCCCCAGCGACCCCACTCCCTTGCAGGTGGCTGTGAAAGTAAGTGACAGTGTATGAGTTATCATGATGGTTTCATGCACCTTTCACCCAAGAGTTCCAATGCATTATAAAAATGAAGATGAATTAAGCATTACTATAGTACTGAAGGATGTGGCTAGAAAGGTTGCTGCTCTGTTGCAACACTTTAATCCATCATAGCAATGGTACAGCTTGTAGCATATGGGCTTGTGAGACTATTAAAAGAGGTCTGTAAGTAGCAAATAGGCAAAGATTTCCCATATAGCTGCAGTAGACTGCAGGTATGAGAAATAAATCCATCCTCTGCGTTCTACACCTGGTGTGGTAATCTGTCCAAAGCTTTTGAGTCAGAGAGCAGAAGTCTTCAGAGGGCCAAAAGCAGCTGGCACAGACATCAAGAGCCTGAAGGAAGGCGATAGCTGGTTTTCCAAGGATCTCATCTCTCCGTTACAGGATGGATATGCACTGGATGTGAAGCTAAATCCTAAGAGACCCTGCTAGGGATCTCCGGGTCTTCAGCAGCCTAGATAGCTTGTTTTTTCCTAGAGGTTGCATAGCAGCACAGTCCTACTGCTGGTTATAGTTAATTGTCTTGCTGGGAGGTAGGAATATTGGACTCTCAGAGAGCTCAGGAACTGTGGTCTCATTCCTCATCCTCTAAACAATAGAGTCCCTTGTATGTTCCCTGTGCACTCTGGGCTATTTCCTTTGCTGGGAGGAAGATGACAGTGGCATTGATGGGCCACACGTTCTGATCTGTACCTTTCAACAGACTTCACAGTCTAGTTTAGTACTGGTCTAGCTATTCTCTTAAGTTTCTTTTAGAGAAATAAGAATTTCTGCAGACAATGCTAGTGCTTTTGATTGTGCCGGATGTTCTACATCTGTAAGTTTAAATATCTTCTCCTTGTCAACCTGTTCTTTCTTTTCCAGACATTGCCAGAAGTGTGTTCGGAGCAAGATGAGCTGGACTTCCTCATGGAAGCTCTCATTATTAGGTGTGTATGAATAAGATGAACAGCACTTGTGTAGGCTTGCAAAGCCCAGCACTGTAAGGAAAAAATGTGCTTTGAGAGGTGATGTCCATGCAACACATCTACACAGTAGTTTTAGTGCATGGCTGTCAGTATTTTACAAGGAGGATGGACATTACCTTCCTTTTATATTCTTCTCAAAAATGAAGAGGCACCAGATGATTAAGGGCTGAATTTTCAAGAGGATCCACACTGGTTTTCATTATCCAAAGTGAAAATCTTTAGGACCAGTTTTCAGAATTGTTAATAGGATCCTTTGATTTCTCTTAGAGATCAGAACATGAGATAAAAACAAACTTTAGGCGTTTGTGTTTGACTAGTCAAAATTAACAGTCAGTGACTGAGTCCTAGAGTCCGTGGAAATAGTTTCCCGTCGCTTTGAGGTCTGGAGAAACAAGGAAGTATTAGAGCATAGACCTTGAGGAATATCCCCTACCTAAGCAGATTGCTGTGTCCATATGTTATTTGGAACAATTCTGCCCTAGCCCAGATTCTGCCCCTTGGATAGGGAAATTAGGAGCAGACTTTTCTCTGTTATCAGAGATTCTCTGCTTCCTGTGGCCCGCAAGTCTTGCTGTAGCTCAAAAAGTATACAGAATATAGAAGAGGAAAAGCAGCCAAGAGCCACTCCTTCCACACCTCTATTTCTGAACTGTGCCGACAGACACAGAGTGCAGGGGTAGCACTTTAGCTTCATTCAGTTACAATGCCTTTGAGATTTGTTACTTTCTGGGAAAAAAAAAAAATTCCCCACAGCAAAACGTTTTATTTTCTGCAATTGTGCTTTTTGGATCAAAGCTGCTCTATAATTGAGTCTCCCTGTCTCCACAGCAAATTCAACCACCAGAATATTGTGCGCTGTATTGGGGTGAGTTTGCAGGCACTGCCTCGTTTCATCCTGCTAGAGCTCATGGCTGGAGGTGACCTGAAATCGTTCCTGAGAGAGACGCGGCCTAGACCGGTAAGAAAATAGAAAATTGAATTTTGTTTGGTAAGCTGCTGCCACAAGACAAATACGTAACTATAAAAGAGCTGATCCATGCAGCTACTATTTCCCAGTATTTTAGAGGGTCAGAAAATTTCTGTTGCTAGAAGGCCACTCTGGGGGCAGGACACAGACATGCAGGGAACAGATGCTGCCGGGGTTACGCAGAAGTGACTCATCCCTGGACTTTGCTAGATAGCATTGCAGATACTATCTAAAGAAAGAACAAAAAGTTAAAAAAAAAAAAAAAGTTTAACTCTGCTCTTGCCTTCCTCACACCAGCTAGGGGCAAGTTTGGGGGAAGCATTGAGCTAGAGATTATAAATCCATTATTGAAACTGCTAATCAGGTGCATTTCTGTGGATATCTGTCAGTGCGAGTTTGACACAGGAAAGGAGGGAATCTGGCCTGGAGCTGTTGACTTAATAGCAAATACCTTTAGTCCAGAGTTCTAAAGATTTTCCCACTGAAATCAGCATCAATAAGAAAAGACAGTCAGTTAGAAATGTGTGAAAAATAAATTATGACTTCTGGAGAGGAATCAGTATTTCAGAAGAATAAAGTTTTCCCTGAGCCTTTGGATCAGAAGGGCACCCAGATGGTATTGGAGTTTAGCACCAGGGCCCCGCTTCATACTTTGTCTCTAGGTTTCTTTGACACAGGGCAAAATGCTGTATTTTATCAGTACAAGAGAGACACGAATTGGCTCTGTCAGATATAAGCAAGACTCTTCCTTGAGGCATCTAGAAACAGACTGGCTTTGTATTTTTTCCCTGCATTCTGGTTTTCAGACTTATTAAATGGTCTGTGTTGCTCAGGAGCACCACAGTCTTGGATAGGTTGCAATAAAGTGGTCCTGCCTGGATAAAAAGGCTAAACACCCAGAAAGTCAAGATGTTTGAAATCTGAGCAAGAAGTCTTTATAGAGGTTGGTTTCCTGTAGCACCTAGAGATGCTCGTCAGCTCATACAAATGGGCTGAACTTGGTGGTAGGTGAATGGGGAAATCCGTGTTCTGCAATGTGGGCTCTGCTCTCACCCGATGCAGAGCAAAATGGCATGGGCAAGGTATGCTGCCTGGTGGGTGCTTTGTTCAAAGCTTCCAGGACAGGCTGTGCTAGACATGTGAAGTGGCAGGTGAAACAGGATGCTGTAGGGCAAGGGTACCCATCACTTTGCAATGGAAGCATCTTTTTGGCTCGTTAAATTAGAGAAGCCAGCCTAGTAATGATCTGGGTCTTGTGAGGAACCAACAAGAACATTAGTCGTGGACAGCAGGAATTTTTATCTAGTTGCTGTAAAATAAACCAGTTGCTTTTGTGGTTGAAAAGCCCTTAATCTTTATAGGATGCAGTTATGGGAGCCTTCTGATCTGAGGGATTTCTTTCTGCTTGCCCCTACCCCGGTCATGTGTTCCTCCTTGCACACCAGGGCTTCCATTTCTGTTAGCGGTAGCTCTGTGCAACCCCTGTGAAAGCTTCCTTAGTGTTTCTCTTTCTGCCTTCACAGTCTCTCCTTCCTCATCTCTACTTTCCTTGTCCTTCCTGACCTGTTTGAGGTTATCTGAGACTGACTGTAACTACTACTACACACAGGGGCTGTTCCCAGCACCTTGAAGATCCTCCCCTCTTCCTGCACTTAACTTGCTCCCAGGACTGAAGCAGACCTGGGACTGATGCTGCTGTTTTCTGCTCTGTCCCATGCCTGTCACACATTGGGAAAGCTGTGAGTTCAAATGCAAATGAGCAGTTGCAAGCTGGAACTGATTCAGAAAAAACAGTTTCTATTCCCTCTTTAACAGCTTGGTGAACGTGGACAGCCTGACTCTGTGCAGACACAGAACCACATTTTTCTGCTCCACTTCCAACACCTTATTTCCTTGCCCCTTGCCTTGCCCCACTTCTGCTGCCATACCTCATGGTGGCTGCCTGGCGAGAATGATGGGGTAATTCATTGTCTGGCTGCCAGGGCAGCTTCTGCGGGGCTAAGGGCACCTGCGAGTGCTGAGAAATCAGCCTCTGGTGCACACAGTTGGCTGCTGGCTCAGAAACTGTGAAGCTAGGAGGCTGACTTGCTGATGAGAGATGAGATGTGTGCAGGGTGTTGTGCTCTGTGAAGTGTGGGATCCAGCTGTGGGAGTGGATTTACCCTCTGCATATACTTGAGCTGTGACAGAGTCTGGAGCTGAGACCCGTGGCTCAGTTCCGCTGAATATGTCTTTGCTCTCAATGAACCCTGAGCTGCCTTGTTCCTTCTGTTGCTCATTCAGGGAAGACAGGCAGACAGTAGATATAGCAGACTGGACGTCTAGCTTTCCAAGCCTGTTAAAGGAAAGGAAAGACAAGGAACAGCATAAACAGGCTTTGATGAGCTTTGCTTCCAACACAAATTAATTGAACACACAAGACCTAGCTGCCTGACTCAGTAACAGAGGTATGCTGCGCGGTAAGCACCGTATGAATTGCTGTTGTCATTTCCCTTTGGTTTTTCCCCAGTTTTGTATTTTCTAGCTGATTTCCTTACTACCTTGTCTTTCCCACCTACTTCTGCTTCCAGCCTGATTGCAAAAGGGATTTATGTGTTTGTTCCCTACCTTCATTGCCCAGTTGCTCTCCCCACTCCCCTGCCAGTTACTCTGAATTCATTTGCCAGTTTCAGTCAAATTTAATGGAAGTGTGAAAGGCATTAATATCTCCTCAGGCTTCATAAAAAAGTAAGCACTGCGTGAGAGCAAGCACTGAGCAAAACAAGTTGTCTTGTTTGGCTTGCCACTGGCCAGCAAGAACCTGTGTGACTTGGAGCAAGACACACACAGCATGCTGCCGTGCGCTTAGCCACAGAAAAGATGCAAGGGAACAGAGGGAATGGTGAAGGAGAAGGTGAAGCGAGGGAAGGGGGAACTTAAGACATTGTGAGGAATGTGAAATGGGAAGCTAGAGCGACCACTGGAGGTATCAGGACATGGAATCCAACTTAATGGGAGATCAGGATGCTGCCAGCACAGATTGTTGCATATTGTTCAACTGTGTTCTTCATGGAAATAAGGACAGCCATGTTCAGCCAACAGATAGTGATTCTTCTGGACTCCAAGCAAAAATTATCGTATATGTAAGGCAAATATGTATCCAATATGACTGATGCAATACCAGTAGTGACTCTTGTGGAATATCATCGGTTTATGCCAGCCAGGTCTATCCATAAGCTTCAGGTTCATACTTCTCCACGGGTCCAGGGTTTACAGCCCTGAAGGATTTCTGTGTTCCATTTCTAATAAAGTTGCGCATCTATTACAGGATTACCCCTTCCTCCTTGTCTAGAGAGAGGCAGTCTGGTAGATAAAGAGATGCCTGGCATCAGAGCCTCTGCTCATTATGAGCATTGCAGAATTGTCCATTCTGGGAAGTTCAGTGCTGATCTTTCACACACAGCACAGCAATCAAAGAACAGCTCTGGAAGATAAATCGTATACAGAGAAATTATTCCCCTCCTTTGTGTTGTGCAGCCTGTTGCACAGAGCAGTGATTACACTGAACAATACACAGAATTTCATTCATCTTTAGCAAGATTCAGCCTCACCCGGGGAGGTGTCACGCTCGTGCTTCCAGCATGCCCACTGCTCTGCGCAGCAGTGCATTGCAACTGGCACATTGTCCATTCATCTGGGGAGCAAAAGCTGTAAAGTGAACACTTTGGTGTCTCAAGGCTGCTCCCCTTGCAAAAAAATCCCAAACCTCCATTTTTCAAACAAATTACATGGCTAAATTGTCCTTGGCTGGGCAGTCACATCTGTTTTAAGACTATATTTAGCCAAATAAAAGGTGGAAGGAATTCATCCAAGGAGGGGAAGGAAGAGGGAAAAAAAGGGAAAAAGATAAAATATCTGTTCAAATCAGCTTGTGGCTTCAGCCTACTGACTGCCTTGCAGCATAGCTCAGATCTGGAATTGATTGCACAGTAAAGAATTGGCTTTTTCACTCGGTTTTCACTTCAGGTTTCTGACCTTTGCTCAGAAGACGAGGGAATGGGTAGATTGAGATATTAATTTCCCTTTGGTTGTGGGCTGAAAGGGGAAAAAGAAGGCATCAGCATCCTTTCTTACTGTAGCCATCTTGTGTAGCTTCTTCACTTTAACTCACAGAGGTAAAAAAGATTATTCCCCCTTCCCCACAAAAAAAGGGGCTGAGCGAGAGGCTTTGTTTCCAGGAAATGGTTACTCTACAAAAAGAAAGGCTTAGGGGGAGAAGCAGTCAGGTGTTTTAAAGAATCAGTTAAGTATATACATGCAATGAACTGTACTGTGTAAATAATAAAATATAGGCAGATGATACAGTCAGAAGTTATTTTGTTTCATGGCACTGCACTGAAAAAACAAAAGGCTTTGTTCATACAGAGATGCAGCATTTTTCAATTATTTAATTATTCAACGATTAAGTCCAGGTTTTTCCCAATCTCTTCAGAAGACAAGACTTTTTAAGGTTTTACGAGCCAGTGCCCACTGTTTAACTACTTGCTGCTGCCTGCAGAGCCGGGACTTATTTCCAGTCCCAGTTAGCAGTGGTTTAAATCAGGTGGGATGGCCAGCACAGCATTGCATCAGTCTGGAGACATGTTTCATCACAACAGATGGGCTAGCAGGGCTAGCAGTCCCTGTCATGGGAGAACCAGTGCTTGTTTGTGCATCAGTGGGAGAGACCCATGGGCAGGTGTGCCTTTGGGGCACTGGGCAGAATGGTAGGCATCAGGAGAGAGAGACAGAGGGTGGGATAGGCTTGTTTGGTCAAAGATAAACACAACTAAGGCCACAGATAAACACTGAGCTAGTAAATGGCTGCTGTGGAATAGCAGTCACTGCCACTCAGTTGTTTGTCATTGCCCCACAGGCAGCAGCGATTTCCTCCTCCCCACCAGGACTGGCAGCAGGGATCACTGATTCACACCTCAGTGCAGAAGCTGATGGTTTGGCTTCAGAGGCCAGCAAACACAGGCCGGTGCGAAGCCTGCCCTTTTCACTAAAGCATCTGGCTCCTGCTGGCAAGGACTGGAGACTTCATCAGAGGGGCAGGAACAAGGAGTTGGCAGCTTTAATCTTCCAGAGCTGCTGGCTGTGCAAACCTGTGTCAGTGCTCCGAGGCGCAAGATAAAACCTCCACATTTTTTAAGAGCAAATGTGACTCATGCCATTATAGAAAATGTCATTCTCATTGTTCAAGGTTACTTTAGACAGGAGCTAGCAATAATACAAAGAAATGGAGTGAGGACCAGTTCAGGCTACAGATCTCCTCAGAAAACATGCTGATAATTCAGAAGTATCTCCTATGGGAACTGGGGGAAATTCTTACAGGGGCATCCCAATGGAGCTGGAAAGTCAGATCCAGCTGTTCTGATTCTGTCCCTGGGATTTGTATGACATCGTGCCTGCACATCCTTTGCATAGTTCATGGATATGAACTCTCTCTTCCGCATTTCTGTAATCCCTTTGTGTATTAAGATCTGAGCTAAATCACTCATTGGGATAGTTCCCAGCACTGCATAAGTGACGAATCATGCCTCATGCCGTGTTCTCGCTTTTTAACCCATGTTTGTCCCTTGTCTTTTGGCAGAACCAGCCCTCCTCCCTTTCCATGCTGGATTTGCTCCATGTGGCTCGTGACATTGCTTGTGGGTGTCAGTACCTGGAGGAGAACCACTTCATTCACAGGTAGGTGAACACATCTGTGTCAGCATGGGCATGACTTGCATACAGGCCAGCATGGACTTGTAATGCCCTGCTTGATATGTTTATGTCCTGCTGCACTCTAGTGGCTGCATACCTTTAAACAAGGTAGATAACATCAGAATCACAGAAGCAATTAACAGAAAATCTGTTATAATTCAGGTTGCAGAGGTCTGTATTTTTACCAGAGATCTTGAGCTCTGTCTCATGCCTGCACTTGTGCAGCCTGTGTGGCTACTCTGCAAATGGAAGCACGATCTCATGACAGAAGTCTTCAAAGTTCTCCCTGTCATTGATTTTGCTTATTGCCTTTCTGCTCATTCTGGAACCCTTTTCTTCTCCCTCTCGAGGAACGGCTGTACAAGTACGGCCAGGAGTGCAACACCTTGTGACTATTATTACCTGCTCCTGCAGAACAGGGTGTTTGACAAGTGTCTAACTTTCTGCCCTTTGAGTAGAGAAAGATTGTAGTTTACTCTTCCGAAAGAGTTACCCACAAGGTATGCCACCATGCTATTCAGATCTCAAGGTTCACTTCAACCCAGCAGAGCTGGAGCTGGAGCTTTACCTGCATACACAGATTCAGGCCCATGCCAGAGCAACACCTGCACATTGTTGTTCTTCCTGTCTCTGACCATACTGCACCCATTTGACAATATTTGAACAAGCATGATAGGAACAGGTCAGTGGATCATCCCCCAGACAGTTCGATGTTGGGACTGGTACGTTGCTGAAATCGGCCCCACTGCTTACAGCTCCTTAGAGACTTAAAAATAGCTTCTGGGGTGAAGGGAGGCTCACAGGAGGCCCATCCTTTCAGCTGGAAGATGTTACATGAAGTTTAAAAAGGAAATGTTAAAGAGCAGAACTGCTGCTGCTGTTGGAGTAGATTGGAATTTGGGACATCACTAGTTATCCATAAACACTGACTTTTCTGGCTGTTGTGGGCTCTCTGCAGCTCAGGAAACTAGGTACTATTCTTTGTTTTCTTTTTGTCTTGCGAAATTGTCGAATGATTAAGTGGTTCTTCTCTTTCTGTTGCTTTTCTTCCCTTTCCTTGTAGGGATATTGCTGCCAGGAACTGCCTCCTTACCTGTCGAGGGCCTGGGAGAGTGGCTAAAATTGGAGACTTTGGAATGGCCCGGGATATATACAGGTAGCAGAGCTTGAGCCCCGGGCATCCACAAGCAGAAGCTTGATAAAATGAGGGAGGAGCAGTGTTCGTGCAGGAGAGCAGGCTTGTGTGCTGCTCTGCACAACCCCAGCAAGGCAAGAATGGAGAGATCCCACCCTGATGAACTTTAGTTAGAGCTTTTTTGGTGTTTGCCTTCACCTGTAGTTTAGCTGTGCTCTGGAGTCTTTCCCCACTCCTGACAGCTTTCTTCTGGGTAATGAAGTCTGGTGGTCATGGAAGGCATATTTCCTCCCTCTTGTACTTTGTCCTCAGGTTCTTGTCTTCACTTTCTCCGCAGTGAATGGCATTGATGTGCCCTTTTGTTTTGTGGTCCCAAATCATTCTGAGCTTAATCTCTCTCCTTGATACTACCCCTGCCCCTTTGGTTTGGTGTCATCAGTAAATCTCCTCAATTTACTGCAGATAAAGGAGGAAGGTACAGAGGAAGGTCAGGAAAATGTAATCATCCAAACTGGAATTCAGCCAGGGCACAGAGTTAACTACTCTGCTCTTGCAAGAAGTGCCAGGAAATCTTTAATGACCACGAGCAGTCAGGGCTGCAGTTTGCTATCTCATCTTCCAGATAGCACCTCCAGAAGTGCGGCACCAGGTCCTGCTGTGCTGAGGAATTGATTTGCCTCTGACTCGGAGGAAGGAATGCCTTGTACTCAGTCACCTGCACTGTTTATTCCAGTGCCTCGTCTTCTTTTTTTCCTGCTTGGGGATTCTCCCATGCAATTACTAAGCCAGACCTGCCTCTGCTTAGCTTGAGATCTAACAGTATCACAGCCTGAGGTGATGCAAACAGAGTGCTACCTTCAGAAACCCAAGTGTATCAGAGCTGCTTTTTCCACCCCTTGCCTCCCTCTCCCTTTAAAAAGAGCCCCCACTTGGCCCTACTGTCAGATGGGACTCTGCTGGGACAAAGTAGCATCTGTCACACTCACACAATCAGCAGAACCAACTGCCAAGATTAATGCTTTGGTGCGAAGTTTTCAAAGGTGCCTTTGAAGCCTGCACATGTTTCTGTGTCCACAAATATCCTTTGGATGCTCAGGCTGTGTAGTTACGCACAGTGATACCAGCTCGCATGAGCAGCCTCCTGCAGCTGCCAGCACCGGATTTGGGGCTTGTAGGTTTTATTTTTTTAAATTATTACAACACTGAAGGACTGATGTAATTCCCATCTCAGGAGCATGGGAGGTGGTTTTTGTACTACTGCCCCAGCTCTAGCAGCCAAGCATCCTCCTCGTCAAGCTCCTCATTTTTACACAGGGGTTTGGATTCACCTGCAGTGCTTTAGACTGGGTACACGTGGGACAGACTTGTTTTTTGGTCAGGTTTTTTTTGGACAGGTTTATTTTTGGTGGGGATGCTCAAGGTGATCACATGTGAGGTCAGGTGGAGATCTTGCTGTGGCTGAAAAGTGCAGGACAATGGCTCCGCTAGCAGCAGTTTACTGTGTGAGTAATGCACACGGATAAGAATAACATGGGTTAACCAGATCAGGCCTGAAGGGAGGGAGATGAGAGCAGTCTTTCCATGGTCTGCCCATTTCCACTGTTTTTGTGAGAAGGAACAGGTCTCTTCAGCATTTTCTCTGCCATGTTGTTTCGCCTAAATTAGTCTCTCCTCTGGCTTATAATTTTAAGATTTGTAATTATAAAAATCCCCAATTAATGACAGTTTCTGAATTCTTGGCCAACTCTTTGTTTTGTTTGTTCTTTGCAGAGCCAGCTACTATCGGAAGGGTGGGTGTGCAATGTTGCCTGTCAAATGGATGCCTCCGGAGGCTTTCATGGAAGGGATATTTACATCAAAAACAGACACGTGGTGCGCTTCCTTCTCTGTGTTGTAACCACTTTTGTAAAGTGTGAATATTTGGTAAAAACACATGTTCTTGTACATTTCCCCTTTACTAAAAAGACAAGCTGGGTCTTTCAGAGCCAGTAATCTTGGAGGAGATGAGGGAACAGCAAGATCAGACCTGTGCAAAGGCAGGTGCTGCTGGGGAGGTGAGCAGGCAGGGAAGGGAGCTTGAGGCAGATGCAGGTGCTGCTTTGCTGCTACAGGGAGGAAAGCATGAGTTCCACACTGAGCTGCTGCCTGGCTCAGCACAAAGCGCAAAAGTTTCCCATTGCTGCACTTTTTTTGCAATTTTAATTAACAAGATAGCGATTTCCAAGCAGCTGACCAGATGAATGGTTTGGGGGGGGGCGTGTCTTGTCCCAGCCATTGTCCCCAGGGCTTTGCAGGCCACACCACACAGGCCCAGGACTGTGACATTAGCTGGGGAATGTTTTTGTTGTACTCTGAGCTACAGTGGGAGCTATGGGGCCCAGAGCATCATTGGGGATTCACTGGCATGTTATTTCCCACAGGGTAGCTTAATCAGGAGGAAAAGTTTGTCATAAGTGATGAGGCCACTGCTCCACTCAGTCCTGTCTCCAGCAGTGGCTGATGTCTCAGAATGGCATGACCTGACTTTCACATTTGTTAGATCTAGTTGAACATTTGAACCTATCTATATCATAGACTAAAGTCACTTAGCAGTCAACTACTAGTATTCATTAAATGATTCAAAGTCCACCATTACAACTACGCAGCTTGTTTATGCCTGAATCCTGCAGCAGTGGTTGCCACAAGCTGCCTGAGCAGAGGCTGCAAAGAGCAATGCTGACGGTACTGCACCCAAGGGCATTGCCCCTTGGTGATGGTCATTCCTGTATCCTTCATTTTGTTTTCCTTTGCTTTTGTATTCAGGTCCTTTGGCGTGTTGCTGTGGGAGATATTCTCTTTGGGATACATGCCCTACCCTAGCAAAAGTAACCAGGAGGTTCTGGAGTTTGTCACCAATGGAGGAAGGATGGATCCACCTAAAAACTGCCCTGGCCCTGTGTGAGAATTTAATTTTGATATATTCATGCAAATAAGTTTCTGTTTCAAATGCAGTTCTCTAGTCAAAAGTTAATGACATTTAAGATTGATCTTATTGTCTCTGATCTGCCTTTGGACTTGAGTGCCAGTGACTTCTCTACTATTTAATTTTTCTGTCTGTTTTGGACCCCTTGGAGAAGTACTGGCCACTGATTGTTTGGTCAAAGATGGTGCAGTATTTCTGTGTCTTGGGTTAGCTGTGAAACTTGCAAGTGCATAAGACTGTTCATGGGTAGGGGAAACAGGGCTCCATTATCTGCCCTGCCTATCGTTAGTGAATTGTCCAAGAGATTTCAGGTGGGTGAGTTATTTCTCTGATGTGCTGTGGATTTCACCCCACTGGTGGCCACGTTTCAGTGGGTCATTCAGTGACATTTCGTTGGTCACCAGTACAACAGTTGTCTGGTGCTGGGGAAGGCAGAGCAGTCTTATTTACTAGAAGTCAGAGTGGTGATGCATGCTTATGGTTTCTAAGTTGCAGTGACTAGGTGTTATGCACCAACAGGATCTGCCATTTACGAGCATTTCCTATTCTGCTCTTTCAGTTATCGCATTATGACCCAGTGTTGGCAGCACCAGCCTGAAGACCGGCCAAATTTTGCCATAATCCTGGAGAGAATTGAGTACTGCACTCAGGTATTGGTGTTCATTTGTCTCAAATGAGATGGGTGGAGAGAGTGGTTCTTGAGGAGCGGTCTAGGCAAGCCAGGACATGAGATGAGAAGGCAGCACTGCATTACTGCCATTAGCAGTCAGCCTGAGGCCAGTGGCTGGGATGTTTACCTCATTGGGTGGTTGATCCTTCTTGTCTTCCACTACTGAAAGGCACAGGCTTACACAGCTTCGCAAGTAGCAGACTTGCAGCTCTGCTTCTGCCCATAAAGGCACAAATTCCAACAAGCAAAAGAGCTGCGCCAGGCCAGCACCCGTACACGTTCCACGTGCTTCGTGTCAGCCGGTCTGCCCCAGTGTTTACCCTTAAGATGTGGTCAGCACTGAGCAGAAATGGTCCAGGCTCAGAACACCCTTTGCGGGTGGCTTCTGCAGCTATCGGCAATTTTCTGAATCTGACAGCGCTGGAGAAGGCAGTGGGGATTCTAAGGCTAGGCAATGGGGAAGGGATGTGGCTGGCTTTCCAGGATGATATTTTTTTTTACCGCCATTTTTAGCTTATGAGGAGTGGTTTCGAAAATGTTTTGCTGCCTGCATCAGCTCAGGCTTCTTGTGTGGCCTCACGCAGTTATTTGCCTCAGTCAGTTCGCTTTCCCTTGTTGTTTGGGAGGCTTGGTCTGTTTTTCATGTATATTTTCATGTTTTTCATGATCCTGGGATTGGGAGGCATTGTTTTCTGCTATCTACAGCTTGCCATGGCATCTAGCAGTAATTAAAAGTTGCCCAGATCACTGCATTTTCTCTCAGTTTAATTTTCAAAACTGCTTAAATAGCTCAGAACAGCAGTTCCTATGGATTTGGGTTTCAAGGGTATTGCCAGTATCGCCTCCTCTCTGCATTCCCATTCCTCCCTTGTGCGAAGGCAATACTTTCACGTGAGACTTTCTCAATATCATCTGAGAATGTTACAAACTTCAAGATTATATAGATTCCAAAACAACATTCCCACAGGAAATCTGGCTGAACATAAAAAACATTTTTCATTGGTTTTGTGCCTCTGCTGTTCTGTGGTGAGTTTCAGGGTTCCTTTTTTTTAGAGTTCAATTTTAAGGGTATCCCACTGCATCTCCCAGCTAACTGCATTTTGTCAGCATCCGCTACACATGGGGGCTTTGGGTAGTGGGAACGATGCTCTGTGATCATAGCAGTTGTCAATGTGTCGGGTTTTTAATCAAGTCCGAGTATGCTTGATGGCAGCAGACTCAGAAATTCTCATTGCTCTCTTCGGCAGGATCCAGATGTCATCAACACTGCGTTGCCAGTAGAATACGGCCCATCAGCCGAGGAGGAGGAGAAGGTAGCAATGCACCCCGATGATCCAGAAGGAATTCCTCCTCTCTTGGTCTCCACACACCGAGACAGAAAGAATGACAAGCAAACTCTGCCATCTCCACCACCCCCGCCGTCAGCCATCACTGCTGGAAAACCTCTCGGGAAAGTGGGAGCCTTGGAGCAGCCAGTGCCAGGGAAGGTGCCATCAGCCTCAGCAGGGGGACATATCAACATGGCCTATGCCCAGTCCAATCCCCCTTCCGAGCTGCACAAAAGCCGAGGCTCCAGAAACAAGCCCACCAACCTCTGGAATCCAACTTATGGTTCCTGGTTTGCAGAGAAGCAGGCCAGCAAAAACAGTACTCTGCTGGAGAAGGAGATGCCTGAGAGGGAGAATTTGGGACAGGAAGGAAACTGTATGGTGGGGCCCAACATTGTGACTGGCAGGCTGCCCGGCTCCTCCCTGCTATTAGAGCCATCTTCCCTCACAGCGAGTGTTAAAGAAGTGCCTCTCTTTAGGCTCCGCCACTTCCCCTGTGGCAATGTCAACTATGGATACCAACAGCAGGGCTTACCCTTGGAAGCCTCCACACCACCTTGCGCTAGCAGTTATGAGGACACCGTCCTTAGAAACAAGAGCCACATAACCCAGCAGGGGCCGTGATGAGAGCCCTCTGCCCTCTTGACTTTTCCCCCTGTGGCCCCCAAGCCTTGAAGAGATGTCCTGTTACCCAACACACCACGAGCAAGGGATCTGACAGCGTTACCTTACGTTTTGTGCCAACCTGCTCCGAAAGTGCCACCCTCAAAGCTGTAATTTCAACTAACCCAAGAGGCTTCAAATCACCAGAGCCCCGATACAGTAAAAGAAACAAGGGGGAGGGAGGATACAGGAAACAGATGGTAACTGCAAGGTCCAGCTGCTGTTGCATCAACTCATCCGCATGGTTGTCGTCATGCCTTTCCTGTGAGCTTTTCTCAGTTGTGTGTTCTCTGCTTACGTGTAAAGCCGCGGCTCACTGCCTTGAGTGTTTCATGTCTGGGGTTTTCCTTGCCAAACTTGTGGTTGCTGTGGAACACCTGGAATGCAGCTGGCAGAGGTTGTAGGTGGGTTTGGGGAGAGCATCCTCTATCCAAACCCAAAAAGGATACAACAGCGCTGAACAGTGACACAATGGCACATTCCCAAGTTGTGTTCCAGCTACAGTCTGGTCTTCGAAAGTCCTTGAATGCACAGCGGTTATGGGGGTGTTGGCAGGGCAGTAGAAAGACACTGGTCATACTGCATCGCTTCTAAAGGAGAGAGGAGGCAGAGGATAGGTATAGATGCTGTGAGGCATTCTGGGTTGGAGGGGGGTTTGTTTGGCTGGGGTTTTGTTTTGGTTTGTTTTCTTTCTCCTGTGCTTAAGCACTGAAAGTGAGTAAAGCCCTTTAAAATTCCTTCTGTCCTACAAAAGTAGGAATGTCCTTCATTGGGAACTTGTGCGTGTCAAGTAGAACCAAGGTGAAGTTTTAAAGGACCATGGTCATGAGAGAAACTTTCACCGTGCCCTGAAAAGGGACAGCTACCTGCATACCTCACAGGTTTACAATAGCCTTTGACATACCCTGTACAAACAACATAGAGGCGGAAGGCTACATCGTGCCACAATCCGGATGCCAGATACTGTATTTGAAGGGTTGAGAGCCCTTGTTCCTTTAACAAAATACGTGTATGATAGTGGTTTAAAGACAAACGCTGCATTGACTCATTTTGTACACCTTGTGCATGAAAAATATTCCAGTTAAGAGTATTGTCAAAACATAGATGTAGGAAATAATTCATGTGTAAAGATGTGCATTAGTAACTTCAACTTAGGGTTGCAAGGAGCTGTTTAAGCATGAACGCTATCCAAAAAAGGGGTGCCTGTTTCCATAGAAATGGGTGTGCTGGAGCATCAGCAAAGGAATGTGAAGGTGTTCTTCAGTCCGAGACTCTTCATTTCAGTGAAGTGACTCTGAATCTGGCCCTGGATCCAAACATTGAGGTAAGTGTCCTGCCTTCATAAGGGAACAAACCAGAACCCACATATACATGCTCCTCACCTTTGAGATGTGCTGATTGAAATCAGAGGGCTTGGTCTGGGCCACCACCCCTGTTAAAAAAAAAATAAATAAAACATATGAGCGGGGAGGTGGTGTTGCTCTCCTAAGCTGCCTTTCTGACGTCTCTGATACACAGAACTGAAACCTCTTTCAGGCAGATGCCAAAATTGTGTGTGGTGGTTGATTAATGGGGTTGTGCTCTTGTGTTGGGAAGCTTGAATCAGGGGCTGCTCCAGATTTCATGTTTGTCTGCCAGGGATCCATCACACTGCTGCTGCGTGGGCGTGGTGGCAAGAATGATGGTCACACTGCGTATGTTCTGCTCCCGTGTCCAGGATTCTTTAGCTTGAACTAAGAGAATATTTGTGATCTCCAAGGTTTTTAGGCTCGCAGCTCTTGCCATGAAATAGCCACTGGGGAGGGATTCTGTCTAGCTTAGGACCATGTTGGTGTCACATTGGTCTCTCTCGTTCTAGCTCAGTAAACTCAGCAGGGTAGTTTTCTAGAGTCTTGGGAAAGCTGATTAATTCAGGAGATAAGCACTATCAGGACAATTTCTTACATGATGTATTATTCACATACAATAGGAATTTTCATTTAAATATCCCAGCTTTCTCATTTTCAGAAGGGCTGAAGCTCCTCATTGTTTTCCTTAGCTCTTCTTCACATCGGAGCACACTCCAAGTTTTTGCTGCCCTGCCTCTTACGTGTCACTGAGGACAGAACCTGACCTGTATACTAATGAGTGTTCTTACAGAATGCACAAGAACAAAACATCGCCAAGTTAATGATCTTTGATTAGCTGAAATTATTAATTCTTGGATCTGGAGCAGCAGCTCTGATGCTGCACAACAGCAGATAAGCTGCCAGGTTTTGATGTTAGAGTCACCATTTCTAAAGAAGCTTTAAAAGCATGAGCAGCAAGAGATGATAACAAGTTTGCGGGGGTGAAGGGGCAAAGGCAGGCTTTCCCCAGCCGTGGCGATAGCTTGATTACTGCTCTGCAGCATGTGCTGTGCAGTTATTATAGAATTTGAACTGAAATACTCTCACAAAATGGGAGTTGTGAAAAATGAAGAAACTAAACACGTTACTGCTTCTTACCTATGGAGTATGTGAGGAGATAATTCTGGTCTGGGGAGATGGTGAATTACTGCAATTCTCCAGCCTGCTGGGTACAGTGCATTGAGATAAACACTGTTCACCACTAGCAGGTGGTTTTACGTAAGCTTCCTTCCAGTGTCTCCAGTGTTAAATGCTTTGTTGTGGGGTTTTTTGGTGTTGGGTTTTGTTTCTTTGTTTGTTTTTTAAATCCCCCCCTTAGCTCATGGAATTCAGAGGAATCAGAAATCTAGTTTGGGCTTATTTTTAATGTAAAAAAATTACATAGCATCTCAGAGCTGTTCCACAGCAAGTATTTAGTTTGGTACCCATGTGCTGGTCAAGCACAGTACCCTGGTTTGCAAAAATTGTTTTGTAAATATTAATCCCAGTCATATCTTGCCACTTGGAAAAAAGGCTTGGAACATTTGCCTGTCCCCCTTCTTAGAAAACAGATAATACCATTAATGACAAATGATTTCCATGAAATGGACAGGAGAGTGCTCTGCTACTTGTGTGCAAGCTGCATCGCAGGTGGTTTCCTGGTCATTCTGCAATTCCATTGCTGAGCTTTTTGTTCAGTAGGGTAGGAAAGAATTTTGCAGGGCTGTCCCAGGGACAGTGCAAGCTGGGCAGAGGGATACAACAGAAACTCGGCTGTGTGTGCTTGGGTACAGCTCACAGACTGCAGCTGGAAGGGTATGGGCTCCGTGTGTGTATGTAAAGAGCTGCCCAATTCCCTCGACACAGTTGTATGGAGGCTGTGGCTTAAATTCTTTATAAGAAGGTACTGAATAGAATTTATTTTAGCATTTCTCTTACAGCGTCTGAAGTGTTGAGTGTTCATGTTTCTTCTGTTCCAATTTCTAGCGGTTTCATTGTAGCACACTTCCTATAGCTGTACACCATTAGCAAGACCATTTTGTCCAGTCATGAACTAGGAATTTTTAATTTCTGTGTCTAGAAAGATTTGCCTGTTTAGTTCTCAGAGCTGTAGGGAACAGAAGGGGCTGAAGTCACCATGAGCTCACCAGCCCAAAGCACCCTGGCATGTGTAAATCCAAAATTCCCTTATTAAACCACTCCATGCTAGGCTTACAGTGTTGCAGGACCAAAAAAAAAAAAAAACAAAAAAAAAAAAATCCAAGTTATTTTAACCCTGGTACTCATTTTTGTGTGACTTTTTTTTAAAAAAAATATAGTTTATAGAGAAAATGTAATTTTTTTTAATTAGCTTGTTTTTAAGACTTAATCTTTTTCATTGGCAATATTTATATTCTGGTCTTATGTGTCTTCCTCACTCTACAGTGGAAAAGGAGGAAACAGTATGATCTACAGGATGTAAAGCATGACTGGGAGAATCCTGTGCTACCACTCTCATACTCTGAAAACAGTGTGTCACCTGTTTCCTATAGATGTTCGGTAGGTTTCTGGTTCTGTAAGCTGCTGAAGGTAAATAGGTTGGGATGTCTGTTTATCTGCCTTCCCACTTGTCCCTTCATCTTCCTTTCTGCTACTGAACCTTGTTTCTCTATCATGAGCCTGGAAATGACAAGGCACAAGTTTGGGTGGTTCAGCTTCCTGGAGGAGTAGTGGAGGAGCAGTAGCAGGAGAGGGGAGGTACGGGTACCACAGGTTGAAAACACGAGGGCTGCGTTAATGTGGTCGAGTCAGCCTTTCACAGCGGTGCGGTGTCGCTGCTCCAATGGCTTCCCTCCCCCTGTGTGCACAAAAGGATGAGTGCTCAGCTTGAGAGCAGTCATGTACACACTGTGTGATGTTGGAGGTGTGAAATGGGCTCTGAAGGATTTAACTTTGCATGTCTGCTTCTGTTACTGGGCCTGTCTTCTGGGTGACAAGAACCTTGACGTAGGAATAGCATAAAACAGCCTCTCACAAGCCATCACTCTTTGTCTGTCCCAAAGTTAAGCCCATCACAGGAAAACGTCCCAATTGTCTGCATCTGGCTTCTTTTAGTAACAAAGCTTCATTCTAGGAGAGTCTGTCTCATGTACAGCATTTTATGCAACATTGTTTATAAAGGAAGGGCCTGTGCACTTCAGGGATACTATGATGAAAAATACTAATATATGGTCATTGAGTATTTTGTATTGAATAGTGTATTTGTATTGTAAACAAGTGTAGTGAACCACAAGGCATGAAGACAAATAAAATGACTGTAGCTGGCTCTCTCTGTGTTGGCTTCTGCAATGACTGTATCAACGTCTGATCACTTCTGCAATAACCAAGGGAGGTCTCTGGGCAAAGTTACAGAAGTGTTAAGGTACACCGACACACAACAGAGCAGGTGTGGTGTCCAGCTGAGACTGACACCTTTCGTTCAGGCTAGCAGTAGTGTGGTTAAGACTTGTTTGCACTGCAAATATCATACCTCCACATTTCTTACAGGGAAAGGTGCTATTCCCTCTGTTACAAACCACCAAGGCTGGCTATTACCTACAGGAAACTGGCCAGTATAAAATAACAAAGTATACGGTTGAAGACAGCATTTGGGTGTTCTCATTCCTAAATGTTTATATCCTAAGAAAGCATTTTTCTTTGAGTCTGGACATGGACTTCGAGCAGGTCTAATTACAAGCCGTATTTTAATACAGGGGAGTGTCAGTATAGGAATAACATAGGAAGAGGTAGCTCCTCCCTAAACGCTCACTTTTTTCCCCTCCCTGTACCCCACCTATGCCATAGGTAGCTGCTTTCTCAAGAAATGGTCTTTGAAATTAGGACTGACTTCTGTATAAATGTTGTTCTCCTTCACTTGCTTATCCATGTGCTCATTCTCCTGCAGGATAGTGCTGTGGTTAACAAGACCTTTTTTCCAGCAGGTACCTCTCCTCTCCCTCCATTTCCCCCATACTTTGGTCCTTCCCTGTGTTAACTGATAAAGGAGCTCTCCTGTGCTCTTCTCAGAGCACAGCTAGTCACCAGACAGCCACCACATGCTGGTTTGGATCAGGCGCTGGCTGGCAATCTTTGCTCCAATTTCCATTTTTTCCAGAGCTGTCCATCTGCAGTGAGGCAGGAAAAAGGATGCAGGTTGGTACTCTGCTGTGTGGCTTTCAGGGACACAGTTTCAGTTTCCATCTGGTGTTTGACAAAGCTTTTGCAAAACTTGAACTCTGTAAAAGCTGTGATGTAAATGCTGGACTTGTCCCCTATGCAACGCTCTCACAGGTAACAGAACTAACCTGTCAGAGACACTAGGTTATGCTTTGCAAATCCCTAATGACAATTTTGGATCCTCGTGCCTCAGATCTTGCTGGATAGCAACACTTCAAAAGCACAGGCTCCCTGCCCAGAAAACCATTACTGTCAACATCTGCAAAACAATCACTGAATCCAACTGGGCTGAACGCAATAGAAATTAATTCTCCATCCTAGGACACCTCAAGAAAGTTCTCCTCTTGTCACACCTGTGACCTCTCTTTTCCAACCAGTGTCCAACAAGGCTTGAAAGATTTAATTGCTGAGAGCACTGAAGAAGTGCATTTTCTGAAACTGGACCCCAGTGACATGCTGTGGAACAAGGACAAGCCTCAAAGTCCACACAGGCAGCACAGAATTGCTGGGGACCATCTGTTTCTTTATTTATAAAACAGGTAATATTTTATTTATATGGTTTATAGGGATTTTGGAGATCATTTGTCTTTTTTCTACCCAGTCTGGGGCTGTGATCATACAGACCTCAACACAGCACCTAATTTCAAACTTCACTGCCAGTTATTTTCAGAATTTTTTTTATGACACAAAGTGTCCTCCTGCAAGAGTTGGAGAAAAGGATTATGGCAACTTACCTTGGATTTAGGGAAGCACAAATCCCTTCACATCATCAACTTGAAGACAGCCATCAGTAATCCTTTCTGGAATGGAGGGACTGATTTATTTCTGTTTCAGGACACATAAATTTATGGTGCTCCTTGCTTCCTTCCAGAAGATTCTCAGTGCTACAAAAACAGCTCCACACTGGTAACAGTCCCGATTTGCCCCTGTAACCTACACTGTTCTTGCTCATTATAGCATTTATGTGCAGCTAGCTGAAGCTGAAATGGAAAGACAAGCACACTACACCACTGCCCAGATATTATGTGCCCTCTTCTCTACCCATCAGACAGGATTCAGTGAAGTCCCGCAGTCTTTGCTAGCCCAGGGCCCCAAGACCCCACTTCCGGCTGAACTAGGTGTAGCCACCAAGCTGTGGATGGTGGAGCCTGACACCCTTGGAGAAAAAAAAAAAAAGTTACTAATGAATCAGAAAACTCTTGAAAAGAGGTTATTCCCATATATTCCTTCATCTGTGCAAGATATGCCACACCGAAATGGTGTGACTGTAACAAACTGCCTGAACTTGCTGCCTTGCCCACACACGTACTCCCCTACGTACCTCCTGAAGAACTCCAGCTACCCGTCAGAAAAAGCCGTTACATCCATTCCATCTCGTCAGGCAGGAAAAAACAGCATTTCTGATAAATGAGTGTTTCATCACAGAAACTGAACTGCCCACCCAGGAGCACACGGCTGGGACAAACCAGTGAAACATGCTGTACAAACGCTTTGTTTGACAAGTGGCAGTTCTGTACTGAATAGCTAGAGGATATAAAAACTTCTGGTTTATACACTACAGTTGCTGTTTCATGCTGTTTGCCTAATTTGTCCATAAGAACAGTCTGTAATGACCTAATGAAAATTCTTTTTGCCATACTGTTCACCAGGGTTTCATTTTACTAAAAGCAGCAAGAAACAGCTATTGGACAAAGTAAAGTTCAGTACATCACTGAATATCCGCATCATCAAATATAAAGCATTAATTTTTTTTTACAATCAAAATTTACAGCTTTTATATTCCATTAAAAATTCCCATAAGTTAGAATACAATATGCATTATTTTAAATACAGCTCAGGAAAAATAGCTACAGCAATATTTAAAAGAAGGAAACAGCAGTAGAATCCTGTCTAAAAATAGGGTATTATGAAGTAAGTTAAAGTGTCGCTTCTTCAAGTAGGTACAAGCAAGCAGATCGTTTAAGAATAAAATAACTGTTCTAGAACACAAAACCATCCTGATAAGATAGTGTTTACATATGCTGAGTAATTAAAATACATCATATGTTTAAAACATGGACAAAATATTAGCTGTTTTAAAAAGCGGATATGCAAATAATGTCACATCAAGGTGTGTTACAGTGCTGTGCCTAAAACTATCCTTAATTTATCATAAGACTCTTTTACAAGAAATTTCTACTGGAAACTGTTCCAAAGGAAACAAAAAGAAACATGTATCACACATGAATCAAATAATGTTAATAGCTTGCTTGAAAACCCTGCATATAATCCACACCACTGGCAAGAATTACCATGTATTTATACAGACTCAATATTGATGATGAGGCTATTATGTATAGTTCCACTCTGGGTTTATTTGCATTTAAAAACTGTGATACTCATAGCCTGCAGGACACACAAAAAAAAAGTCTTTAAAAATGAGGGAGAGCTCTCCCGTAGAGTGCAAAGCGCATTATTTTAAAGAGTGCTTCTTATATGTAGCTCTTTCTACAAATGCATACAACAAAAAGTGCTTTTTTTTTTTACTGTACAGGCTGCCATGCAGCATATTTGTGCTTTTTAAAGGCTTTTTCATTTAATTGCTGCAGTTCACTAGCATAACCACAAATATTATCAGCCCTTCTGTGTTCTGGAGAGGAGAAGGGGGGGGAGCAAGAAGAGGAGGGATCTGAACAATAAAACTTAAAACCACAACTGTCTGAAAAAAGGGTTTGGGGTTTTGGTTTGTTTGTTTTATTTGGGGTTTTTTGGATTTGGTTTTTGTTTGGGTTTTTTTTTGCTTGCTTATTGCTAGCAGCTGGTATTGGAATTGACAAAGTGGCTGGTAACCAGACTAATGTCACTCATTAACCACCCTCTCTGTCAAAAACAGGCAATCCACAAGGCATTCTCAGTTCATTACTATGTGGAGGAAAACTGTTTAAATACTGAATGAGTCACAAAGCAACTTTAGAGAACGTTGGGAGATACTGTGTTCTCTAGCTGGAAGAGTATTCAAATAAACAGCATCTCAAATCCACGATGCTTTTGCAATAACCTTCCCAGGCAAGGGCTGGTTCAGCAAGAGAAACAGAGTAGTGGTTTTGCTTTGTAATGCAACATAACTTTTTAAATCTATATGTATTTTTAATATATAGTAAAATATATTATATATGCACATACATACATATATACTTATATATCTGTAAAATGAAAATGCAGATTTAATAATTTAAAAATAAGTTTCCATTCAAGATGGGGTCTTGTGTGCTTGAAATACTTATTTTTTCTATTGTAAGAGCACATTTTGGCTCAGCAAATATCATCTACAAGTTTTGCCCCGTTAATCCCACGGTAGGTTACTCTGCTAGGTCGAACTAAGACCCCGTGGTTCAGCTTACAGGTGAAATAGCGCTTTTCCCCTACAGAGCCATCGTTCTTTCCCTTGGCACTTCTGAGTTCAAGTCCGAGCCATATCCCTGGTGCAAAGTCTGTAGGACCAATGTACCTGATTGTCCCCATTTCATTACAGCTGGTCAGAAGAACCTGAGAGCCTTCATGCAACTTCACTGGTCCCTCAGTGCTGCTTGTAGTGGTATTACTCCAGCTGCGCCGTAACACAGAGCTCTTAGATCTAGTTAGAAAAAAAAAGGCAAAACCTCTAGTCTTTTTTCTGTATAACAGCCGAGGCAAGCCTGTAATTCACTGAAGTGCATGGGGAGAAAGAAAAAAAAAACCCAACACACCTCCAATCTGTTTTTAAAAAATTTGCTTTTGATCTCATGTCACTAGCAAAACATGTAATAACATTAACAAGCTAGTACACACGGCAGCCTGAAAATCATCTTCCTTTCACCTGATGCAGGGGTCTGCAATATTTGCCACAGGTGGTAGGATTGGTAAATTAACCAATACAAAGCATTTTATTTGGGACTTGAAAAAGTTTGGCCAAAACAACTTTTAATGTTGCAAGTGTCAGTCAGGATCACCAGGACAAACTGAAGTCCTTTAACAAGACCCTCTGAACTTCACCCAGCTGGGTTAAAATACAAGACTTTGGAGAATATGCAGTGATGAGCAACTGGAAAACTATTTTAATGCCAACCTGCATCCAAGGACTGCACCATAGATACCCACGGAAAAATAGTCTACTACTGGTCCATTTTGGAAGAAAAAAATGAACCTGTAAAGGTCTAGATATTACACATGCATAAAGATTTTCTTTTGAAGAAGAAACAGTAAAACTAACAGCCAGCTCACCCAGACACTTTAAACTCAAGACACTCACCTAACAAAGGAGTTTCTTCTGTTTATCTCCTTTTGTGAAGATGCAGAAGTGGTGCTTAGACTGCGTCTAAAACCTAAGAGGAAAGGTTAAGAAGCTGTGTAAGACTTCATTAAAAAAACCAAAAACAAACCCACACAAAAAAACCCCCAAACAAACAGAACACTTTATGAACTCCTATTAGTTGTGCTTTTTTTTTTTTTCCATCCTGTTTCCACCACATTTGCTATACATTCTTCCCTCTAGTTTGGAAATTAAGTGATGAAACTTCTCATAAAAGTAAGTATCCATAACACATTCAAGTTTGTAGAGGCCAGAAATGAAACTAAACAAGGGTAATTTGAAGCAGGTTTTTCACAAAAAGCCTAAGTAAGGAAAAAGAAAAGTTCTTCATGTATCTCACAGAAGTTTTATTAATATCATATGGACCCCTCCCCTACACTGAACCCTTCATCAATCTCAGTTTAGACTAAGGAGCAGGTTCAATTTATGGTTAACGCTGATTAGAATGCAATATAGTAATAAGGAAAGAGTATCAACAATCTTAACGCTGACTTTATTACTCTGTCAGTACAGGGTTAATAACAACATGGTATTCCACAGTTCCTTCTGCAGGCTATGTCTTTAGGAAGGGACCAGCCAGACTACTGTCTGGCATTTGGGTTATTGAAAATCCACTGTGCTTTCAGAGAAGTTGGCTTTGTGCAGTTAGGTTCTGGTTGTACAATGGTAGCCTGCGGCAGGCTACCTAAGCCAAATCCCAACTGTCTTATGCTCCTACCTGGAAAAGTGTGATTTATTTTACTCAATGAAGTCTCTGTGAGAGAATCCAGAGAACCTGTTAGTCTGAAAAGCAATAACACAACAAAGAAGTCATTTCAACTCAACTCTGAACACACCTACTGGTGGAGCTCTTGTCAAACATTCATCAATTCAGTTCTGATTCTTTCCCTTCCCTGTCCACCCTCAGGAGACACTAACATTTCTGTTGTAATCAGGCTGGTATGTAAGAGGTGCCTGGGGCAAACTAGTTTATTCAAGTTGCTTGTCTTTTACTCAGCAAGAGAGCATGTATCATTTTGAGGCAAGTTCTTTACCAAATTGCCGGCGCTAGGATATTCAGGGAAATAAACGCAAGAACATGTCTGGCAGAGTAACTGGATACAAATACAGGAGGGAAGAGCACAGTGCTCCTCAGATGTTCTTCCTGAAACCTAACAAAGAGACTAGAAAGTGGTGGACGCTTTTGTTCCTCTGTGCAGTTAGCTGGAATGAGAATAGTATTTCCAGTCATGTCCAGGGGCTACTTCCTTTTATAGCCGAATTTTGCTCAGTGCATCAGGATTAGGTCATGAAAGTAAGGTTTAATGAACACAGACGGCATCAGAAACAGAGGCCCTGGCATGAAAATACAAAGTGGCTGCAAGAGAAAACAGGGGAAGCTGCATTTCCAATTTATACTCTGCTTTCAGAAAAGCTGATCTAAAACCCACCAGGTATTTAATGGAGGTTATAAACTTCTGTTAGTAGAAGAAAACATTTATTTCTTCTATATCTGGTACAAAACTTTGTTTCCCACTGGAAATGTATTAAGAAAGCATTTGGCAACACAAGCATTAAAACATCTCAGTGCATACCTCTGGACACGAGACGGTGGTGCAAATATACCATATCTGGGAAGACAACTGAAGTACTGAATGCCTCCCACGGAACCATCATTCTTCCCGTGAGGCTTGTCCAATTCAATTCCACACCAGAATCCTATGTTTCAAAACAGTAAAATCATGGTATTTCGAACAAAACACCACAGGCTTTTCTTCATCTGGACAGTTGGCATTCATGCACATCAAGGAAAACAGTTTCTAGTTAAAAACTGTCTAGATAGTTATTTTATTACACATATTTATAATCGATGTAACTGTGCAAAAATTTATATCAGAATAAATCTAATTATGTCAGTGATTTTATATGCTGTCAAGAAAATTATTGACATTTTAATTAATATAGAAAAGGTAAAACCCTTGAGAGATCAATATATACACACTCTAAAGCCGAACAGAGTGTTATTGAATATGACAGTGGCTACTTGACAAAAAAGAGACAAGAAAGAAGAGCAGTGGTGGTTCAAGTTTCCTTCTTCAGTCCCCTGACCACACGGTTTATGCCTCATCCGAGATCACCAACAGTGAAATTAAAGGTTTGATATTAATTCATTCCCTCTCGCTATCTAGCGAGTTATAATTAATACAAATTGCAAGGCTGGTTGTATGATATTGAGAGAAGGGTGGAAGAATCAGAACTGGCCAGCAATTCATCTCATACAGAACACTGAATAGGCATCAAGATGTTAATAAGCTTGATCATTCATAACCTGTGATAAATGTGAGCTAATTATGTAAAGGTGCTAAATTTCATACTCCATTAGCAGTCCTTATGCTATCCATCCCCAAAAGATTCAAAATTTAATTCAAGTCACTTGGTACTAAGGCACTGGATAAAATGGTAATTCTCATTATCAGCTCAAGAAACACAGGAATGACAGCTTATGAATTAGAAGGCCTCAGTACATCAGAAGTTCTCTCCTTCCTGTTTTAAATAAAGCTCTCCATTGCAACAAAAGAAATAAAGTATGGGTAACTTCCAGAGCTTTTATATATATTAAAACTGAAATACTTAAAAATGCATCTGTTATGTTTTCTACAAATTACAGATTTTGCAAATGGTGAAGATTTGTGATCCTTCCATCCTCATTTCCTGCAATACTTGCATTTCTTGCAAAAAATTTCATTCCCTAATTTAGGTGGGAGAGGGAGTAGGCTTACACTGTCGAACAGCTTTCTGATTTTACACTTGTTACAGTGTACCTGGAAAAAACAGTCCTTTTCTCATTTTTTTACTTTGTAAGCTACAACATGAAGGTAAGAGTGATCACACGAAAGCACAGAATCAGTTAATCACAGTATCTTAAGCAAGGACTGCCTACAGTGCAACTGGGGAAAGGGGCGAGAATGATAAAGTAGGCAGCTTGTACCACAGTCTCGCATCCTGTCATTCTAACATTTTTAAATGTTGATGCCACCACGTGTCAAGACAGAGTATTGCTGCTTATGTATCAATCAATGGACTTCATTTAAACTAGGTACTTATACACCAATACCTACCAACTGTTTTTGCATTACACTTACAATAAGATTACAGATAGGAATATAAAGAACACAGAATTTGGTTACAAAGAATAAGTATTAGAAAATAGTTTCCGTAATTCAGAACGACTCACTTCTGTTTTGAGAACACCTGGCTTCACTGCAATGTGTTCTTTAGCAAAGGGAAGGGAGGTAGGAGCTGAAAGGGAGAAGGATAAGAATATGGTGGTAGAGGTTGGGGCTTTTTGAGATGCTTGTAACTTTTCATCTGTCCTGTGACCTAAAGGTTTGTTTAGTTAAGATTTACATATTCATAATTACCCTCTTAAAGATACCAAGAAGAATGAGACAGGTGTATGAAACAATAATTGTACCAGTATTGCAAGAGATGAGCTGTGTCAAAAAGGCTTACTACAAAAAGTAAGGAGTAAAGGCATGTGATCTCAATAAACTACACACCACTCTGGAAACTAAGTGGAGGATTTTCAGAAAGCTTTGTAGCAATACCTACAATTCCAACATTAAAATATTTCGCCTAATTAAGCCATCTTAGTGAAAAAGTAAAAGTCATATTTTAAGCCGTTATTTTCTCTTGGCAGTTGCATTAGAGTAAAATATATTCAATGAAACATAGGAGAGAGAAAGAACTTTGAAATAAACCTGTAAATTTACAATTTTTTTGGAGGGAGCGAGAAAAAAGATGAGTTGTCTTAATGTTCACGCCCTCACATGCAAGCTATGCTGTACTGATTCTACAACACACACAGAGATAATTGCACATACCTGGTGCAAATTTTGTTGTCCCACAAAATCGAACAGTACCTGTTCTCTGTCCTACCACCAGTACTCTCTCTCCAACCTGAATTTCTCCTTCGTCAAAAGGATTTTTCCTCGTAGCTGGAGAACTATACAACCCTGTTCAATAGAACAAGATCTGAAATTAGCAACATTATATCTTTAAAATTTAAGAAAAAAATAGTGAGCGAACTGATTAGTAAACAGAGGATCTATCTTTAACATAGCATACACACATGGCTACACACTGCAAAGGTGTCTTGGACAAAAGAATTGCTTTGCTTCAGCATGAAAACTGCGGAGTAGAGCCTTTTCTCTGCCCTTGAAAGGTACAGTGGACTAACTATAAGAATGCTCTCCTCTTGAAGATATTCTAAAAGAAACTTTTTTTAAAGTTGCCAAACTTAAGTTTATGGTTAAACTGCATCCCAAATGTCTTTCTTGAACTATCTCAGATTCTGAAACAGCACAAGTATTTCTACAAAAGTATTCAATGCAGCAGTAAACTCCCACCTACGAAAACACACCTCAGTAAAACAGACCATACCAGCACTTATTTTAGATGGGGCAGAAGACACTCGAGTCACTGCCTTTTTATTGCTGCTAGTTGAGTTCCGCTTCTTGAAGTAATTCTGTCTGCCTTCCAAGGAGGCAGAAGAAGAGGAAGAGCTGCTGTACCCGGGAAAACCTAAAAGACAAAAATGGAAATTGTCCTTCAGAGATCATATTCAGAAAAGGACAGATTAAGCAGAAGGGAAAGCTTCTATAAGAAGATAGTTATCTGTTCTTCACAGGGGGCAGAAGTAAAGAGCCAAAATTTGAGGTTGTTAAGCCGCATTTATGCAAACACCTGTCAGGAATGACATGGGTACCTCTGACCCTGCTATGGGAATTAGGTGATACCTGAGTGCTGGAATAGGTTTCCAAAGCCCCGACTTTGTTACTCTGTGAAAGTTCTTCTAAACAGTCCCAAGCATATTTATCAAAATGTGGGAGCCTCAGTAGTAAGAGATCCTACCACCACATTTCCAGCATCCAGCATATTAAAGATTTGATGAGAAGTGGAAGGAAGGTGATATTATGTGAGTGAATTATTGTCAGGATTAAAGCCTACTATATTCCATTACATACTGTATTAATATTAAAATTCCTACTATAAAATAAGAATGGGAAATAAATCACTTTTATCTCCATTTGCAAACCCTAATGTCTAAACTGTCCAGTAAGATTTATGTTCAGCTTTCTTCCTTTCCAAGGCTCTCCCCAGTTCTTTCGTACCCCCTTTCTGCCCAAAATGAGGCAGCGTACAGCAAGATATGTCTATGCCTCAGTTTCTCAACGTGAAAAATCACAATAATATTGCTAATCAAACTTTCCAGACTTCTGAGAGGCTTAATTCGTTTTCGCAAAGCACCTTGATATCAACACAGCATTAACGTGTTCAATATAATTTAATCCTCCAATTTGGCAAAGCAGTAAAGAACTGCAGAAAGGCAAATGCAGGTCAAAGCAAAAGCTCAGGTATCTGGGGACAGAAGCCTATAAAGACTCTCGAGATACTGGCTGCGGCTATGCTATGACAAAGAAAATGCAAATTACTAAATAAATGTTGACTAAGCAGGAAAACTTCAAGTCCAAGGTTAAACACATGTGTGTGTCTGCAAACACATAGTAGACATCTATTATTTAGAACTCGGTCCAGTGACAGATCCACTGGAGGTCAGACCACCTCGCACTCCTGCACGAACACAACAAAAACTGCTGGTGCAGCAATACAGAAACTAAACTAGTCACTGAGATGCTTCATTTTGTGGGAAAGCGTAGGGCAGGAGAAAGAAAAGCAGAAGGGCCTTCAGCAGGTCCTATGATCCATTCCTCTTCCATCAGGCAAAACAACTGTTTGTTAGATCACTCCCAACTGGTGACCACTTGACCTGTTCTTAAAAACCTCCCATCAGGGAGATGTCAGGAATTAGCAATATATTTCACCACATAATTATCTGTACTGTTACAGGGGTTTTTTTCCTCCTAATATAAAACCTAAATTACCACAGTTTTAGCTCAAGATGTCTTACTCTCGTTACACATGCAGAGTGGGTTACACTGCTCTTTGTATTTGAACGCCTCCTGTTTCACCCCTTTAATCTTCTGTCTTTTTAATCACACAATCACAAATTCCAACAGTCTTTTCTCCTAAATCACGGTGTATACCTCCCGTTATTGTGGCATCTTCTCTGAATTCTCTCCAGTTGGTTCACATCTTTTTTGAAATGCAGTGTCTAAAACTAGACGCAGTCTTTTAGCTGAGGCCTTACCTGAGTCAAGTAAAGCATCCAGGTCACTTTGTGTATCTCAGACACTCCTTTTTATACGTTCCAGATGTTTCCCCTTTTGCAACAACATGACATAGATGACTCACGTTTACCTTGTAATACTCAATATCCCCATGTCCTCTTCTACAAAACTATGACCAGACATGTCGTTCCCAGGGTGCATTTATACAGTTGACTGTTTCAGCCTTGCTGCATAACTTTGCAGTTGTCCCTACTCTTCTGCATCTTTCCCCCCCCTGCTCAAGATCTTTTTTCCACTTTGTCAAGGGTTTTTTGAGGGGAAGAGTTGGGTTTTTTTTTTCAGTATTAAGCCAGTTAGCTATCTGTCAGGCATCATCTGCATATTTCATGATCAGACTCTCTTATCTCTAGTGTCAAAATATATAAATATATTTAAAAAAAAAAAACAAAACAAATTACCAAACTCACCACAAACTCCAGGAAAACTCCAAGCTGAAACAGCCTTCCTGTTTGACAAAGAACCACTGACAGCTGCTTCCTAAGTTGGATGTTGGATCTTCCTAAAGGTTCTGCACCTGCCTTATGGCAGTATAAACCCCTAGATCCCAAAACAAGGCTTCACTCCGCATCCACTCCACATTTACAGCCTACAAAGCCTTTGGAGTCCTATGAATGGTGGATATCATACTGTACCCATCAAACTCAGACACTGTACTGCCAGTTAACTTCACTATGTGACCAGAACCTGAAGAACAAGTCATTAAGTGCTCTCCATGAACAAAATCATGGAAACCTCTGTCTACAGAAGTCTTTCAGCCCATCTCTGAAAAAGTATTGTATAGAGCAGCGCTTAAATACCTTACACTAGTCTCTTCCCCAAGTCTCTTCCTTACAACTGTTCACTGACAGGATCTAAAAAGATGCTTTTCTTTGAAAAGAGTATATTCAAAGTCACATGTCAAATTACTTCAAAGAAATACTGTTTTTACCAACACTTGTATTCTGATTTTACAGACAAAACTTCAAAGGAGACCTGATTTTTACAGTTTGTTAAAGACACCTCTGAAAGTGAGGTTTCTTGATGTTTAACGTTCAGCACACAAAATATTAATGCAGCAGAAGTCGCTATTCAATTGTGAAACTAGATAATTGCAGAGAATGATTCATATGTAAAAGCAAATTTTTAAAAAGCTAGTGTTTCGCTGTTCTTATTTGAAGTTTGTTATTATGAGTCTTCCATGGTACAATGCCAAGACTGTTAAGAGCCATTAGATGGTAACACTTCATTATGCAAGCTTGAACACACAGATATAGGAGAGAATAAAAATTCCAGCAGAATGCATGCACAGTTCTTCGTCAAAATCTAAGCAGTAATGATAAAGGGCAAAAGGTGTCACTCAGAAACCTAAGAAGGTAATTCTAGAGATTCTCCTGTAAGATCATTTACTAAGTAAGAGACAGCTTTCAGCTTTATGGGCTTGTCTATATTCCTGCCCACGCATTTGCATAGAAGATGTTACCAAACCAACACAGAATGCCAGCCAAACATCCACACAAATTACTCCTAGTAAACTGAACATGCACAGCCTGCTTGGGACTTGAATACAGACAAGCAAGGCAACTTTTTTTATGCTGTAGATACAGGACTTTTAGAGAGGTAAGGCAGTAATAATACTTCCTCTGCCCTACCCAAAATTTTTCTCAAGATGTTAAAAAAATAAAAAGAACTTAGTTACCATCTTTTGCAGGTACAGTTTTTCCTCTGTTAGTAGCCATAAAGTTGGTTTCAGAAGCACTGTCTTTTTTTGCCATATGAAGGCCTATGAAAAGAATATATGCAATTAAATACATACATCGTAACAATGAACAAGTCATGTACAAAAACAATTGACAGATTTTCAGATGAGCGGATGCATGGATAAAATGGATAAAACCGCGCAGTTCCTTAGACTCCTGAGAAATGGATAAAACGAGCCTGCAGGATTGTTTTGATGGATAAGCACAGATGTTAAGCCTCTTAACACATTAAACCAGTCTACACTACCTTACCAAACAATAAACAAATTGTCTGCAAAATAGTAATGTTTAGATTGGAGCAGTTTTACTTAAATCTTTCAAATATTTACATCTATTATATACACAACATTCACTTTTATAGTACTTAAGATATACTTTTCGCTAGTATTAATTTCACAGTTTCTGCATTAAAGATTACACATAAAAGTTTTGAGAGAGATTTGAGACCAGATCTTCATTCAGTCTACAAATAACGAAGTATGCCAGTATGACTTTTAAGAGCCTAACTCTTAGAGCAGCAATGTTGTGATATGCATATGGGCTGGTATTGCCACATAAGTTACAATTTGTGAACAGTCATTTTGCATTTCTGACAGCTTCCTACCCTAACTCAATGAAGAGCAAGCTTATCTATGATTTATCCCCTCCCTGTCATGAAAGAAGAATCACCTCTTTTTTATTTAACTACATCTCTCAGCTTAATTCAGCTATAGGGACTGAACTAGTTTGCCAATGTACTGTATTTTCCACAATTTTATGGTTTAGCCCTTAAGGCATCAAATCAAAAAACTAGTGTTTGGGGCTGACAACACATTTCTCAATTTGATCACAAATCAAGTTTTTCTAAAAACCTGAAAAAGACCTATTATCATCAATCTGATGGATTATTCAAATCCAGTACAAAGAAATCAAATTTTAAAATCTCTATACAGTATTATATTTCACTTTGCAGCTTATAACCATATCTCCAAAAAGCGCATTGATTTCTCTCGGATCATTACAAACCAGCGTATTGCAGGAATGAAGTTTAAGGGAAAGAAATGTAATCTGGTGATGCACTTCAACACTGCAAAACAAAGTTCTGCCTCTGCTGCTTTATCCTCCCTCTCCAGCCAGTGAATCAGCCAGGCACGTTAATTCTAATGCACCCTTCAACGCAAGAACTTCTCAGAAACAGCAGCTTCCAGATTACTGTTAGCGGACGCAAGCTCTGACGGGCAGATGATGCGTAACTCACTCTTCATTTCTACCTAAAGCAAGTATCAAAAGTTTAAAATTTACAAAGATACAAATGCACCTTTATGATAGAAAAGGTGGTTTATGACTAAACTGTCTGGAACACACCGTCTGTGACAAAGGAAACGATCGTTTCCATTATAGTTTATTGAGTTACAAACTGTTCACAACAAACTGAATCAAATGTTGAAATATTTAACAGGAAAAGTCAGCTTGTATCTACTGCTGAGCAATACTCCTAACAAACCAATTATTCTGAGAAGCTTTTTATGCAGGATGTCCATTTATAAATAGCTTAAATCTTGTGCTAATTTGTAAATACACATAATTAGGGCTTACTTCCCCTTCAATCTATGTAGAGAAGTTACATAAATCATCCAAAATGCATCTCCTTTACCAGCCTGGCACGTTGTTTCTATACCCTGCATATTACTGGTGAAGACTGGAGTGTTTTAGGGTGCTTGAGTAAATTTGATGAGAATGTATGCCTAAATTTGAATGCTTATGGGTAAGAATGA